GCTCATTAAACGAAAGTTTCTTCTATTACAGTCACAACGATTTGAACCATTTGAAGAGGTTAATCGTTCACATGTGAGATCGATGGGTCCTGGGTTCACATCCCGCGAGGCGGGATCGTCGATGCGCACTGTTGAGGAGTCGTATACTAGTAGCGAAACGATCATCCATTGCTTCCAACGTTTTCATAGTAGTCTATCTTTAATCGATTCATGAATTCAACTATTAAGTAATAAAACTGCTTATTAACAACAACAACAACAACAACAACAAAACACAGATTCTATCAACTTAGATTATTAATGATTTCTGTTAAATTATGAAGGTCAATTTTTGCCGACATTTTTATTCGTTTACATCTATGTGTATATAAGTAGTATAAGTAGTATATATCACAGTTAAAGGTCATTCATTCATTATTATTAAAACACAATATACAGTTAATAATCTAAATTGTTTCTTATAAAGATTACTGATTTGTAAAGGAATTTACCGATATACCGACAAATAGAGATAAACATTAAACAATCTACTTTTGTTTATTACTATTATTATTATTACTATCGATACAAGTCAAAGAATGTATAATTGATGATCTATTTTATTGATATTCCTTTTCTCTGTTAAAACGTTATATGTATGTATGAAGGTATGTATGTGTGTATGTATGTTTGTATATGTAATCAATGACCAATTATTGGCTTTAGGTAAGGGTGAGGGGTGATACTATCACTCGATTGATTACATTGATGTGTACTGCTGACGAGTCCAACAATAGGACGAAACGGCCTTCTGGTGTTTCTAGGTTTTTCCATGATGGTCTAGCTTCAATTAACTGATGAATTCAACTTTTGAAATTATTATAATATCCACAAGAGGTATTTCCTCAAGTTCTAGTGAGAAACAGTATGCAGTGGACTTCAATCGGGTCTGTTGTGAGATAGTAACTGACTGAAGACAATGATGGATGTGTCGCTCAATTTCGTGGATTAGTTGAAGTTACACATTAAGACCGTCGGATGCCGGCCAGCTGAGTGGTCTAGTGATTAGGCGCTCGTGCGCAAGACTGATAGTTTCTGGTTTGTAAATTTGTAAGACGGTATCGTGTATGCGTACTACTGAGGAGTAGTTCCACAATAGGAGGAAACGACCGTTCAGTGCTTCCAAGTTTTCCATGATGGTCTAGCTTCAATTAACTCATGATCACAACCATTGATGTTAAATTGAATTAACTGATCTGAGGTTCGAATAAATGACTTGTTTGACTTAAAGTTGAGAATGCTTCAACTATATATTTTTGATGATTACACTGACAAGTAATTTGATCATATAATAAATTTATTATATTAATTTGGAAGTTTCACAAACGCTGAATAGGATTTCATTACATTCGTCATAAACATACAAACCAGTATATGGATGGTTGAGAACTGGGTGAAGGTGTATGTATGTTTATTTTGTAGATAACCCTAAATGTGAACTGATATTAACCGGAGAACTTTTTTTTTTTCTTAGAATAAAAACCACTTGGTAATTACCATATCACAATTCATAATCAGTGAGGAGTGAAGAATTCTCTGATTCAGTAAACAATTGTATGGGGTATTTCTCATGGACTAACATTAGACTGATTAACATTTCAGGTTACTTTCAAACTATTCAGTAATAAACACTAATGATCAAATTCGAAACCTTCTAGTCTAGGAAAAATCGTTTAACTATCAGAACATTGAATCAGAGTTCGTTTCGTTTAACTGCTAGTGTGGTTATCTATGTGGATGAAATAGTTGCTCATTGCTCTCTCTCTCTCGTTTACTATGATTCCATAATGGAAATCAATCCGTGGTGAGTACCATCTAAAAATCGAACCATTCTCCACTTAACCTCTATCAAAACTGATAAAATTTGTTTAAAATGATTATAAATAATAATAGTAATAAAGGTGTATGAGATTTATTTAGAAAGAAATACCAAGCCTAATTTGAATCTTCGTACACCTATAAACATTATTGATATAGGTCGGTTTATGGAAACTTTCTTATATGAAGACAATTCATTTGACGAACTGATATCAGCAGCAGAAATATAGGAAACAAATAACAACTGAATATCTTTGAAACTTTTCAGGAGCTCGCGCCTAAAATCCCACATAAGATTTAACCAACAAGCTTTAATCTTAATTATGAGCACAATACTTAACACTAGTTCACTAGGTATTGTTTTGCTTGAACCTTCCCATTGAGATTTAAAACTGTAATTGATCAGTCTTTTATTAGCATATGTGCTTACTGTGCACATCCTGTGTACATTCAGCTGATGAGTTCAAAATAGAACGAAACGCGTGTCCTGGATTCCACTGCTAGCCACTATCCATTTTGCTTATAAAGCTTGTTAAATAAGGCAATACGCCCAGTATGCACATATATCAATAACAGACTGATCAACTGCAGTCTTAAACCTCAATAGGAAGTTTCCAGCAAAACAATACCAAGGGAATTTAAATTCACCCCATTGCACAAGCGAGTGGCTATCAGGCCTCAATAGCTGAGTGGATAACGCGATTATGTTTAAAGCCAATGCTACTGAATTCGAGTCCCAGAGTGAACATCAACTTTGAGATGCAGATATATCCTTGAGGCACCAATTCCAAGGTTGAACTTGATAGTTTAAAATAAATTGAGCATTGGGTAGAAAGTTAGTAATTAATGTATTCTTTGTTATATCCTGATGAGTGGAAAAAATTACCTCTGATGTTTCGTGACCTAATGTAATCTACTTCTTCAGAGTAAATAAGTAACGGAAATTAGATTAACACAAGTTTAAATAGTACAAAGGAAAGAATGATTTGTATTTTTTATATTTATTTACATACTATTGATATTGTGTGGATCAGTTCGTATATGAAATAGATTAATCATAGTTTCTCATTAAATTTCTGGAGTACTCCTATCTAATTAAATAATCATCGATTCAACTCACTAGTTAAGAGGTTAGACATTTACACGAGAAACTGAAAGCCATCGGTTGCATTTTTGCGTGAAATGTCGTGAATGCTATTACGAGTTCACCTTACTCGGTAAACGGAACGAAGGTCAACGATACAGTGATACGATAAGCTATTCTAATCCATTGGCCCTGACCCTGCTAACTAGATCAAGAAGTCTCGATGAGGTGTAAAGAATGTATCCTACAAGCACCCAGAAAATACGAGGTCACTAATCACACAAGTCAAGCTTATTTATACAATGATAGGAACGCCTTTGAGAGAGCCACAAAATAGCGTACTAAAGAAATCCGTCAACCAATGATAGTCAAGGATTGCCGAGTAGGAAATGTAAGTTGTAGGTCAACTAAGCATCTCTTGGCGTGAAAACATAAAATTCAAATTTTCAGAATAAAATTACAAAATTAGGACCTTTTCCAAGTGAGTTCTGGGGATCTAACATCCTCAGCAATGTTCTATTCATGAACATTCAAAGTTTTACATTAAAGAACTACATGGGATTATTTATTGAAAATTATCTCGATATACATTCGATTGACTGAAAAGCATATCAAATTGATCAGTTTTACAAGGTTAAGTGATTTGTTTTGCATTGGAACGGGCTTTACATTTATGACCCCATCCAATTCGCAATATAACACAGGATATAAACCAATGCATAAACCTGAACATATAAGGATATGAAACATATAATTATATTCAAAGATGGATAGTGGCTAGCAGTGGAATTCAGTTTGAAGCGCGTTTCGTCCTATTTGGGACTCGTCAACTGGATGTACTTGCATATCAGAATTGATGTTCACTCTTGGAGGGACACAAATCCAGTACCATTCGCTTCAAACGCCATTGCATTATCCACTTAGCTACTAGGTCCTGATAGTCACTTGCTTGTACAATGGGGGTTCGAGTCCCAGAATGAACATCAACCCTGAGATGCAAGTACATCCAGTTGACGAGTTCCAAATAGGACGAAACGCGTGTTTTGAATACCACTGCTAGCCACTACCTACCACTGCCTATAAAGTTTATTACTTCAGGCAATATCGGATGCATATATGCCAACATGAGACTGATCAATTGCAGTCCTAAATAACAATGGGTAGATACAAGTGAACAACACCAATTAAAATATATAATTATATTATTTATCTCCATGACTTTCACCAGAACCATAACAATAAAAACAGAAAGAGAGAGAGAGAGAAATCAAAGTTAACTGAAACTAATTAATTAATTATATATGCAATTACTTCTTTCTTTTTTTTTTCTTTCAAATACACGTACAATTTGAGGATTATTGAGAGTGTGTGTGTGTGAGTGTTGTTGTTGGAGTGAAGTGAAGTGTAATGCACAGACCCAAACGGTAATACAGATCAACACACACACACACATACACAAAAGTTTATTACTAATAAACAAAGTGTTCTAAATAGATATTGATATGAAAATATTCGAAACAATTATGATTTATGTATTGTGTATATATTGAATCAGTGATGGTTACAAATTTGTCTGTTCATAGGAATCATTAATTGTAAATAATAGTCGTTATGATAGTACACAGTAGGATTCCAATATTTTCAACATAATATATTGTATTTACAAGAAAAGAAAAGAAAAGAAAAAAAAAAAACATACAACTGTACACAAAGTTAATTAAAAGAATAGTTTGTACAGATACTAAATAGATAGTTACATAATCATCATATCAATACATACATACATACACACATACAAGTAAATAAGTAGGTAGATATACATGAATGCATGTATACACAACAAAAAAGAAGTGTACATATGGCAGGAACAATAATTAATAGGGATAAGATATATGAGGTAGTTGCAATGGTAGTAGTAGTAGAGGAGGAGGAGGAGGACGAGGGGGAGTAGCATAGCACATAAAAGAAATAAACAAATACATAGATTAATCATTATAAAATTAAAAGGAAAGGATCACTGAAGAAGAAGAAGAAGAAGAATATTGAACTGTTTATATGATTAATCAGCACGTTCTACACGTGCTACAACTTTACCTTCCCATAATGGTAGAATAGCATTATCATTTGTTAATTCTTCATGAACTACACCAGTACCAAATTCATCATTGGGTTTTTTGAAAAAATATCTACAAAAGAATAACGAAAAAGAATTAAACAACAACAAACACACAGAATAAGAATGATAAAACAAAAACATGACAATAACTAGAGACAGAAACATGCCTCACAACCATATATATATATATATACATGCTAGACCACCATGGAAAACTTGAAAGCACTGGATGGTTATTTCATCTTATTGTGGGACTACTCCTCAGCAGTAAGCATACACGATACCGTCTCGCAAAATTACAACTCAGAAACTATCAGTTTCGCACGCGAGTGCCTAATCACTAGACCACTGAGCTGGCCGGCATCCAATGGTGTTAATGTCTAACTTCAACTAATCCACGAAATTGAGCGACACATCCACCATTATCTTTATTCATTTACTATCTCACAATAGGTCCGGTTGAAGTCCACTGCATACTGCTTCCCACTAGAAGTCCAGGAAATACCTCTTGAAGTCAGTTACTAGTGATCATATATTGATTAATATTAGAATGATCTCAACTATTGAAATTACTATAATATACACAAAAACCCTTCTGATATATTATCAGAAGAGGTTTGTGGAGATTTTAAAAATTTCACAGATTGAAATCATGAGTCAATTGAAGCTAGACCACCATGGAAAACCTGAAAGCACTGGACGGTTGTTTCGTCCTACTGACTGATTTCAAGAGATACTCCTGGAATTCTAGTGAGAAGCCGTTACCAGTGGAGTTCAACCAGGTCTGTTGTGAGAAATCAGCTCATTGAAGACAATAGTATACGGTGGTGCAACTTCGTGGATTGGTTGAAGTTAGACATTAACTTCTGATATATGTATATATATAATTTTTATTATTGTTGTGGGAAAATTGACATGAAATAGAATAAGTTTCGTTGTTTATTGAGGTTTACATTTGTCCAGTTATGGGTTAACGAACTAACTAACAAGTAAAGAGCATTTTCGCACACTGGAAACTTGGTAGTAGTAGTAGTAGTAGTCAGTTGTTGATGTATTCATATGTATGTACATAATGATCATTCGGTTATTTCTAATCTTCCACACACACACACACACATAGTTTTATATATACGCTCTCTCTCTTTCACACACACACACACACACTTGTAACAAAATGAATGAATAAATTACATTAAAGATTAGAAATAGACATTCGGTATAGTACAGTGTGTATAGTTTAAATATGGATTAATTGTGATATGACTAGGCCAGATACTAGAAAAATCGATTTGGGGGGAAAAAGATGAAAACAGAGAAACTAGCGTAAGAAGAAAAAAACAACTAGGTGTTACTTGTTTTCTTAATAAAGGATAAAAACCAAATAAAAAAAACCAGTCTCCACAATACTGTAACAACCGAACTGCCAGTATTCGGTTTGAACGCAGGACTGACGAATCAAAATTTATTCGAATAGGTTAGACTACGTTCTACTGTATAGCTTACAAAGCATTTTTGAGACATTCGTATTAAATTATATCAAAACACAAACTCTGTGCTTAATTTAAACGGTTCTAATTTAGAAAATAGAATTAATTGTATCAAAAATACAAAATACCTCAAACGGTACAGCTTGTGCTATACAGTCAGAAGTTTCTCTAACGCAAAGTAGCGCACTGAACAATAAAACAAACGGTTAATACCAAAGGGTTCGATACCTGAGAATCAATAAAAATATTCCCATAAAGATGGGATCAGATATCTATCTGTAGGGATTCCAGCAATCTTCCCAAACAGACAGTCAAAAGGTTAACAGCCACACACTGAATTACGCCGTGACCGTGAGCTTAGTCAAACACGACCTTACTGTCAATAGTCCGGTAACATGCAATAGAAAATCAGATAACAAAAGATAAATCTTTAATCAAAATCACGTAATAAAAGTTCAGACGAGGAAGACTGAAGAACAAAAGGTGTGGTTAAACAAGATGTCAACAAAGGTTAAAATACACGACAGGGAGAAGAAACAAATAAATGATAGCACTGTCCAACAAAAAGGCTGCGGAGGGATTTTCATCGTTCTCTTTCCCTTACAAATACAATACAATACAATATATATACCTCCTGGTAAGGTTTATTGGCTAACGTTTAAGGTGAAAGCTAAGAGCCACTCTTTAGGACCTAACTATGATTGAGACATATATATTGTCCAGTGGTTCATCACACACGAGCGAGTCCAGTGTTCGAATCTCGTGAGGCGAGATCGTGAATGTGTCAACTGCATGTAAATCAAGCATCCAAATATAATACAATTATCTGCTGTAAACTGGAGATGAGAAAGACTAGATGAGATTCACAGTAAGATAGATCATAATAATAATAAAAAACTTCAATTCATGTCATATTACAATTTAATGTGTAGCACTTAAAAATTCAAACACTTCATATCCCTCTTTGTCAAGTATTCGAAATGGTCGAAAGCTATAATTTGTTCAGGTATTTAACTGAAGCATCTTATTTCTACAAAAAAAAATAGCTTTCATACTTTTAATTTCATAGAAACTAGTGATAATCCTTCATGACAAACTCTTCCTGATCAAATCAACATACCCAGACCCAGTTTTATGGTGATGGAAACAAAATTACATTGCTTAAATCTCATCATGTTTTTTTCCTTCTTAGAATTAAAATTTGTCTTATTCAATGAAGTCATCACTATGAGATTCCAATATGTGCATAGGTGAATACAATTTGACATTTTTATCCTCCCCAAATGCCCTGGCATGGCCGAGAGTGAAATGGGCCCGCCCTCCCTCTCCAAATGCTCTCACACGCCGCGCATATACAGCTTCTGCCAGGGAAGTCCTACTCACTACCTTCTCGTGGTGGGGGTGTTGTTTACGAAAACGAGAAGACAAAAAGTGAATGTCCGGCGCTTTAACCGCATTCCAAACCAATGGTGCATATGGGCTCCAGTATCTTGAAGGAACAAATGGAGTATGAACCAATCGTTAGTCACCGGCTACCATGTGACTGCATCTCTTAACGTTGTTCCACTGCCTTGTGGATTAGACCTTTAGGTCAAAAGCTCGAGGTGTGGCCTCCTAAGAAAACCACCTGCTTCGGTTTAGGCACCCGGGCAGTATCCCAGCCCTCACATCTATTGGGTGCCTCCTTATACCAATATTTATGTGTTCAAATAAACAAATAAATAATAAATTTTTATCCTCTATATTTACATCTTAGAAACAGGGTCATTTGAAAAAAAAAAGATTCAGTGAGCTTACAAAATATCAAGCACAGAAAAAAGTGACTATCATAAGAACTTACCGATAAACACCTTTTTTAGCAATCAATTGTTTAAATTGTCCCAATGTTAACAAAGATTGATTACTCAATTTAGTTTGAAAATTGTCTACAATTTCTGATTGATCATTAACTTCAACAAATAGACCAGAGGAAGAAATAGAAGAAGATGGAGGTAGATTATGTGAACCACCAGTCCAAACAGTTCGATAAGGAACAGGATCATCGCATAGATAATAGCCGACAACTAATCCAGGACCTGATGAACCAGTTGTGGAAGTAGTATGGCAACTCTGTTGCATCATCCCACATGATGATGAAGATAATTTAGAGTCCAAACGTGTAATACTAAATTTTAAAAAAAGTTAATAAAATAACGATTATTTACCATTTATTTAAACACATAAACATTAGTACAAGGAGGCAGAAAATAGAAATGCACCACATAAATCATTCGATTTAGGTGAGGGCTGAGATACTGCCTGGGTGCTCAAATCGAAACAGGTGGTTTTCTTAAGTACCCACACTCGGAGGCGTTGACCTAAAGGTTTGATCCACAAGGCATTGGAGCAACGTATAAAGATGCAGTCTCATGGTAGCCGGTGACCAATAATTGGTTCATACACCTTTCATTTCCTTAGTATCATGGAGGCCATATGTACCATTATTATTATTATTATTTATTATTTGAACACATAAATATTGGTACCATTGGTTTGGAATGAGGGTTTTCCAAATCCCCTAGGTGAAACTGCATATCTACCAACTCGGTTAAAGCGTAAGCAATAGTAATGCCGCGAGAAGGCAGTAAGTAGGACTTACCTGACACTGGTTGTATCGACTTGACTTTGTGAAAACAACTAATGAGGGAAAGCTGACTCTCTCCACTTTCGGCTGTACCAGAGCATTTGGAACGTGAAAGTTTTTATAAAAATAATACTTTAAACCTTAAATTTTGATGATTAAAACGCTTAATTCAATTCAAAAATAAACAAAACTACTCATTATCATTTAATTAACCTTAAAAATCTTTACTAGTGCAACTAATAGTTAGTTCACTTGATATTGTTTGGCTTGTATCTTCTCATTGAGGTTTAAGACTGTAATTGATCAGTCTGTTATTGGCATATGTGTATACTGTGCATACCAGTATATTTCTTTATAAATGCCTTTTCATTCTGTCCTCTCGAATTTTATTGTCAATGTTTAATCTTTTTCATAATTGTTTCTAGATTATTTCTATTATTTTACAATTGATTTCATTATGCCGATATGGTATAGGCTAATGCCCTGGTATGGCCAAAAATGGGGAGAAGTCAGAATTCCCTCTCCAAACGCTCTCACACATGGCCATATCGATACACCCATTAACAGGGAAGTCCTAATCACTGCTTTCTCATGGCATTACTGTTGTTTACGAAATTGAGAGAATGAAAAGCGAATGTCCGACACATTTTAACCCGGTTGGTTAACAACAATTTCAATCCGATACACTGAAATCATGCCAAATAATAATAATAATAATAATCAGTCAGTCAGCTACAACATAAGACCAGGCACATATATGCAACAGTCCAAGTTGCCATACCTCATTAACACAACAAGATGAACACCAGATTTATAGAAGTAGTTCATTCAATGATGGTAGTGATATATAAAAGAAAGATTGCTATTTTATGACTCAATTTTGAATTAGTTCTTCAGAGGATTGTTAATTGAAAGATGAATAAATACAATGTATCAAACATAAAAATTTTATTGAATGTATCCATATGTTGTTTGATAAATTGAAAACTGACTATTATCATCATCATTGTTACTATGTTGTGTTTTTGTAATCATGATTTGGATAAGTTTTGTTCTATTTATAACTTTAGTTTTAAGCATTTAAAACCTTGGCTTGATTCAGTGTTTCAAATTAGTTGGTATTTGTCACTGTTAAGTCGGCTTTCCGAGAACTACAACGGATCCTCCAGAGGCCCTAAAGGAGCCCAAGAGTCCTAATCAATCAGAGCATGATGGAGTTTTCTAGAATGTTAACATGGCGTGCTACTATTGGTCAGTAGCATAATATATATTTTAGTGGATTGGCCAAAATACGATGTTGATTTAACAAATGTTAACATCTATAAATACCCGTGTTTTTCTGTACAAAAATAAACCTTTGGAGTAAAGTGTTTTCGCTTATTTTGCACCTTTTTCTCTTCAGTTCAGGTCACTGCGTAGTTCTAGCTTGTAGGTTATCAGAATAGCTTAGGAACCGAATAAAGCGTTCGAATTAACAAGACTTATCGGTCACATCAAGATATATCTACAGTTTTTGAAGAATTAATTCTTCCTGTGGGATTCGAACCTACAGTACACATTAAGAGATGTTACCATCGAACTTCTTGGGAATGGAAATTGATCTTATGTAGTAGGACTGAGATATTAACACTGTTTACATAGTACTAATAAATATCCTGATTACTTAGTTCTTCGTGTTAGTTAAATTATATGTATCAGGAGGTCAATCATCAACTACATGTTAGAATCATACAAAGAACAATATTTTTCTCGAGAGTGTAGACACATCACTGACAAAAGTCAACTAACTGCTACTCCTATTACTCTGGTATTTGTCTTGAAATAATTCTATCGTGTTGTGTTAATGTGGTACGGTAACTTGAACTGAGGCGTGTGTCAGATTTTACGTTGCGGATAACTGGTCGACTGATTGAACTAACATGAATTTTGATTCAATATACCGTAGAATAACACATGTTATTTGTTAAACCACACTTAACAAGTGCTGATAAGACAGTTGTTTATTTCCTAATTAACGTACATCGTATATCCTGGGACCATCGAGTAAGTAATGCAGTTGTTAGGAAACGGGTACTAGGTAAGGACGGCAAATCAATTGATGAAGTAGTGAAAATTCATCAGTTGAGATGGCTGGGACATGTGTTACGTATGCCCAACCACCGACTGCCTCGACGTGCCATGTTCAACGGTATAGGAGTAGGTTGGAAGAAAGCTAGGGGCGACCAGACCAAAACATGGCACAAGTCCATGAAGTCACTGACAAGTGGACCGAGTCATGTTGGTAGGTGTAGACTATCTGGTTGGGATCCGCGAGATGATAGTAACCGATGGTTAGAGACCCTGAATGACATGGCTCAAAATCCTTTGTAATGGTGCAGGTGCATCCACTCTTTGTGTTCTCCCAAATTCTAATCTCCTCAATTCTTCATGTCCCTTTCTTTTTCCTCTTTCCAAATTTATTTCACTGGATTATACTCCTTGAATAACATCTTCAAACCCTAATCTTTCTGATTACTGCTCATACTCTTAACGCCTCTATCACTACGGGATGTGAATCGATCACTGCATCTCTGTGTTAATGTGGTGTGGCAACTCGAACTGATGTACGTACGTACGAAGTTCTACGTTGTTACTGACTGACTGACTAATTAACGTACTTTCGTTTATAGTCCTAAATAAGTGCGACGAGACAGCGATGATGATAATATAATATTATGATCGTGGAAAGGTAGTTAGGACTCTTCAGAGGTTGAAATTCGAATATCCTATACCGTTAATTAATAAACAAGTTATATTATTACTATTTACCAACGAATAAAATATGGTAGAGAACCAACTAACCTTGTATTATTTTCATCATGATCATCATCGTTTTCGTCCAAATCCAGACGAATATTGTTGTTCAACTCCAAGCTATTGTCAACATTCATTGAATGTTTAGGATTCTTATTATTAGTACTACTACTATTAGTAGTAATATTGACATTATTATTACCAATACGATGTGCACTAGATTTCCGATGACTATGATGATGATGATGATGATGGTGATGATTATGTGATTTTCTTCCATGTGACGATGATGATGATGGTTCTTTACCATTTTTATTAATCTGTGCTTGTGAATTATCATTGGACAACAACACAGCATGATCTGAAGATAGAGATTTTATTTTCCGCTCATCATCATCATCATTAGTAGTAGTAGTAGTAGGTCGAAGTGGTGTATGTAAAGTTTCTGATGAATTTTGTTGTAATTGTAACCAATGTTGAAGTAATTTACCACTTGTTGGCTTTTACAATCATTATTCACATCTATTAAAATAAACATACACATGATAGAAATTATAATCATAGTCAAAAAGATTGAAGAAATAAATTTCATATCTTTTTTTCATTTTAAGACTGAATCTGAAAATGTAGCTCAGAAAGTAGCCAAATGAGGATTTCTGTGTGTTTTTCTAAAGAGTAGAGTTTAGTGTTATTACGCACTTATTCAAGTTGAATAAGATGTAAAGAAGATCGAACTCAAGTTGTGGATGGCTACCAGTGATAATCAATTTAGAGCCTGGTACATATATATGTGTGTGTATTGGCCAAAGTTAGGGCCAGAAGTCGAAATAATCATCAGTAGCAATGAGAATTTTTCTTAAAAAAAACTAAATGTTGAAAATACGGTTCAAGAGTCCGGAGTGAGAACGTATCTATGCGAGTATTGGAATTCAAGATTCAGAAGAAGATAAATGATGAATATATTCGCTTCATTCAAACCGATCTTGACTCACATCATCCAACGTCTCTAACCGCTGGTCATCGTTATTGAGCGGACCTCAATCACGTAGTCTGTATCTGGATCAGACACTAAAAACACGTTTTGATTTAGCCACCTTTTTTTTCTTCTTACAACTTAGTCCTGCTTCAATAAGCACTGGATATCAAAGTAGACTTTGGTTAGGTATACACGTAATACATGTCCCAACTAATTTCAGTAGGTAAAGATTGACAATCTTATCAATCGATTTGTCATCTTTTGTCTAATGTACACTATCCTTCAACTTCCAGTGGTTACAAATCAATTGTAAATAAACACTTCACTCTTTTTACTCTAAACTGTTCTTATTTCTCAATTCGTGTATATGGATACAATAATCAACATAGAAACAATCTAATAAGATGATTTCGTTTAATTTTTTTTTAATATTCAAAACATTAATCAAATATGTTCAATGTAAATGTATATACTTTTATGATAATCTATCAAAGTGTCACTATATTCTATTTGTTTAATTATTCTGATTGCTTCCACATCATTTGGTGTATTCACAATAGTTATATCCGTATTTAGTGCTTAGGACAAGGACAAGCACGCACACACACACATACACAGACTATATGTATGTATCTATGCACATATATTTGGCGCCACAAAGAAATGATACATTCAGATTGTATAATTTTGTTTTAATACTTAATTAAAAGTTGTTTTGTTTTTTTAAATAAGGTGAATAAATAGTAAACATTATTTACAATCATAAATAACAAATGAACATGATAGATTTGAACAAAATTAATATACATGAATTTAATATTTAAGATAATGATAATTAGATGGAAATTAGTCAGTCAGTCAGTCAGTGTGTGAGAGAGATAATAAATATCCACCCCCCCCCTACACACACACACCAAATGCCCTGGTATTGCCGAGAGTGGGGAGAGTTAGCTCTCCCTTTACAAATGCTCTCATATGGTCACGTGCATACAACCACTGACAGGGAAGTCCTAATCACTGCTCTTTTCGTGACGGGGGTGTTGTTTACGAAATTGGGAAGACGAAAAGTGAATGTCTAGCGCTTTAATTGGGTTGGTGAACACGTAAGACCCACTTAGAGTCGGAGAGCCCTGATTCCAAACCAATAGTGTACAAGGACCCCATGATCCTAAGGAAACAAATGGAGTGTGGACCAATCGTTGGTCACCGACTACCATGTGACTGCATCTCCATACGTTGCTCCAATGCCTTGTGGATCAAACCTTTAGGTCAACGGCTCCAGGTGTGGCCCTCTAAGAAAACCACCTGTTTCGATTTGAGCACCCAGGTAGTATCTCATCCCCCATCTAAATCGAATGATTTATGTAGCGCATATCTATTTGGTGCCTCCTTGTACCAATGTTTATGTGTTTAAATAAATAAATAAATGAGTGAATCGCTTCAGGAGTGTAAGAGATTTTGTATAATTTCAGAAAATCGATAGTCCTACATCAACTATTGGGACATCACTGTTAACTGATCGTCACTTACGATTGGTGTATTAGGCTTATATTTACTCTGTACATGTTTATGTTACTATTAAAGTTACTCATATTCAATTAGGAGAGGAGTTCAAACTTCCAGTATGGTAACTGAAAGTCGAATGTCTAAACCAGTGAAAAATCACTTCATAAGGATAAACACCGTTCCATCTATTTTGAAATATACACAAATTAGATAGTAACCTTTCATCACATTGTATAATAAATGTTTCTATAGAAAGCCTACCACAAACAAACCATAAATGTTTGATAAATTAAACCTATAACACTACAATGAATCAATCTTATCACACACAACAAAATGAAAGTGGAATGAAGTAGAATATGATCTTAATGAGACCAACTGTAGTATCAATATTGTTGTTCACTTTCACATTCATAGTTAATATTTTAACCATAGTAGTACACAACCATAAAGACAAGTCGAATGTTTTAATTTAACAAGTAATTAGCTCAACACTAACACTAAGTTACCTTCTATTTAAGGATGAATTTTAAGTCATAATAATCCCTCTCTCCAATAAAAGGTAGTGGTTTTGTTGTTATTCTTATTATTATTGTTCTATTCAATAAGATAGTATATATAGGTATTTCTTTTTTAATGCATTTTCCATTACATAATAACTATGTTTATGTTTTACTTATTATCACTATAAGATAAGTGAACATGCACATGGGCACTTGGCACATACACAACAACCTATATGTATACAAATAAAAAGCTATCAATTTAGTGTATGTGGTGTATTGATGTATGAAAGAGACAATCACAAATAAATAGACGAATATGAAATATGGGCAATTGATCAATGATGATAATGATAATATGAATAGGCATTTGTTTAAAGTATTTTATTTATTTATTTAAACACATAAACATTGGTACAAGGAGGCACCAAATATATATGCACCACATAAATCATTCGATTTGTGTGGGGGGCTGGGATATTGCCCCGGTGCCCAGACCGAAGCAGGTGGTTTCCTTAGGGGGTCACACCCGGAGCCGTTGACCTGACGGTTTGATCCACAAGGCAGTGGAGCATCGTCAGGAGATGCAGTCTCATGGTAGCCGGTGACCAACGATTGGTTATACTCCATTTGTTCCTTCAGGATACTGGAGCCCATGTGCACCATTGGTTTGAGATCCGGTTAAAGCGCCGGACATTCGCTTTTCGTCCTCTCATTTTCGTAAACAACACCCCCGCCACGAGAAGGCAGTGAGTAGGACTTCCCTGGTAGAGGCTATATACATGTGGCTGTGTGAGAGCATTTGGAGAGGGAGGGCGGGCCCATTTCACTCTCGACCATGCCAGGGCATTTGGGGGTTGTTTAAAGTACTTCTCTTATGATGTAACTCATTATGAAACAAGTAAAAACAAGTAAAAAATTGGTGAACGTAATACTTCATTAAGTTACCTAGAGTTTGAAAACAGAATGCATTAACTACTACTGAGAGTGCCTTGTGAAATCAATTGCTTGATCTAAGCATATCAAGGATAAATTCCGAAGTAAATGAGGTAGATCAATTATAAGAACGGTGTAGCTTGATGTGTTGTAATAGCAAAGATGAGAGTAAATCAGAAATATGATTATTGAGAACTAGGTATGTAAAACTTGATAGTTAGGGTATGTACTGGTAACTAACCAAGCAGTACAGTCCAATATTGAATATAGTGTCTAAAAGTCAATCTATGTTGTGCAAATAGATGCAACAGCTATGTGTTATTCTCCAGTTGTCGATGGTATCCCATTTGATATCAATCATTAATAAATACAACTTATAAATGTTCAAAATCTACACAACTACATTTTTATTTTCTTAATAAACTTGATATTATTCATGATTTAGTCATCATCAACAAACCTACCACCAATAACTATTATTGTAGACTAAGGAGAAGTATATTAATTATGATTGTACACTCTTTTGCTTTTGGTGAATGAATCCGCCGTTCAGAAAGAGATCTCTTCACTGAACTACAACACATTATTTAATGCTTTGTAATTAGTATTAATGTTCACAATATGAAAATGGTAAGAGTTTCTCTCTAACACACAGAAAACAATCATAATCCCTGTATTCTATTCCATCTATAATGTATAATACACACAACATCAGTTAGTCAGTCAGTCAGTAACAACGTAGAAATTCGTATGTACATACACACAACATATACTACTGACACTATCAACATTGGATACCGGCTTAGTGGTCCAGTAGGTTAAGCGTTCGCGCGCGAGACCAAAGGCCCTGGGTTCGAATCCCACAAGTGGGATCGTGGATGCGCACTGCCATTGAGGAGGCCCACAATAGGACGAAACAGCCGTCCAGTGCTTCCAGATTTCCAAAGGTTGTCTAACATCAATCGCTTCATGATCTCAACCAAGAGCTTAATAATCTCCACAATCCCTATACTAATAATTAAAACAATAGTAATATATAATGAAAATTTTAATTTATCTTATGTAAAAAGGTTAAAAGAAACAAAAACATCAAAGAATTTAAAGAAAAAAAAATCAGTTAATTATCTATAATAATCGCACAGATCATTCGTTCCACTGTTTCCCATTCATTAATCTTTACTCTTTCCATCATCTCCCAACCTTCTTAACTCTTAACATTAAACATAATGATTACATCTAAGTGGAGTTGAAGTATTCACTATTATCCCTTCTACTTTTACACTACCATTTCTGTGTTAAAAATATTAAAAAAAAAGGTAAAATTTTGAGGAACAGATAATGAAGAAGAAAAAGAAGAGGAAAGAGAAAAGAGAAAAAAAGAAAGCAAACGAATTAAAAACTAGAAGACATTGTTTCATTCATTAAGTATATATATATATATATGCGGATGTATGAGAGAGGTAGGGCGAATCAGTGGCGGTGAGTATCATAAAAGCAACATTGTTAGTCTATACATATATATATATAGGACAGAAAAAGTACATTGAAACCGAAATAGATTTCATCAGTTGTTAATTCCTAAACAAACCAAAACCAACATAGATACACATAGAAACACAAAGTAAATAGAACTATTATTGAAATGATCAAAGAAATTACCGACATAATTAATAATATAAACTTATAATTTAGTATTAGATGTAGACGTATATCTTCTATACGTCGACAATACATGAAAAGTACACAGGGATAAAGACAATATACGGAGAATTGTATGTATGTGTGTGTGTGTTTGTATGTATGTATGTATATAGTAATAAAGAATAAATAGACACCGGTATTCATCACATCAACAAATAAACAAATAAAAAAACATCAAAGTAAATAGGACGGTAAAAAGTGTTTTCTATTGGACAAAAGTAAATAACAAGAGATAAACAAGATAAACTATTCCATCTACATATATATATATATAATATGGATATAAAGAAGAGAAGAAAAAGAACACACCGTTTAGTTAAAAAGAAGTACTTCAAAGGGACTATATAATTCATAATATAAATGCAAATATGAATGGAAGAAAGAAAGAAAGAAAAAAAAGGAAAAGAGAATCACAAACAGTTTGCGGCTTCTTTTGAAATCATTTATGCATATCAGTATAGCAACAACAACAACAACAAAATAACGACAAATGAAAAGTGAAAATAGAAGAAAATTAATCTCATTACTATACAATTACAACTACTGATTATGATGATTATATTTCATTTATATTATTACTATCATTTAATCTCATATCAATAAACGAATCAAATAAAAGACAATCTCTATATAAGAATAATAACTTTCATTATCTTCAACAGGTATACAATACACATATGTAGTTGTTGTGTGTAAATAAGGAAGAAAATTGATATTACACTTAATTGTTAATATCTGTGATTGCCCAAAACCGTTAATCAGAAACAGTGAATTATCGATCGGATCCACGACGCATAAAACATATACGAGCAGTCTAGAGTTCTGATTGGTCCTGGCTTCCTGCTTAGCCCAGTCAGTTAAGTCCAGAACAACAATCTCAGCCTATGCAATATGAATCCTTATATTTCAAACATACTGAGTTTATATTACCAATCAAACAGACCAAAATGTAGCATAAAATAGAAAATAACATTTGGCCAAATGTGGCTGTGAATGTGGAAGGTAGTGATTAATAGACTAGGTATAATTCAAGAATGGTAAAACGTATAATAATAGTTTATAAGTCAAAATAAAGCTTATAATAAGAGGAACATGAATATGAATAGTTTAGCTACTTAACAATTATACAATAAAAATATACGTATATTAATGGTTTATAAATGGATTCCAAAAGTTACCATTCATTATGTTTATCGGGACCTAAAAATATCACAAGGGGTTTTGTGGACATTATAGTAATTTCAATAATTGAAATCATAAGTCAATTGAAGCTAGACCACCATAGAAAAACTGGAAGCAATGGACGGCCGTTTCGTCCTATTGTAGGACTCCTTAGCAGTGTGCATCTACGATCTCGCCTCACAAGATTCCAACACAAGACCTATCAGTCTCTAGCCGGAAAGGCCGTCCAGTGCTTCCAGGTTGTCCATGGTGGTCTAACTTCAATTGACTCATGATCTCAACTATTGAAATTTAAGTGTTAGTTATAAATTTTTCTATACTTTTAGATAGAGATGAAATTCAGGACATAGTCGAGAATACTGACAAGAGCGGTAATTTTAAAAAAAACACGAAAATAAAATTATACTCTATGTGGAAAAACTAGTATATGTTTGAACTCAGTTGCTTAAAACATAATAGATTAATACTGGAAGTAATGGGTTCAAGTGTCAATGTAAACATCGGTAACAGTGGGTTATAAGCACACACAGATACCATGTCCTAAATGGGACGAGACGCTAGGTCGTCTAGAATTTTACTGATTGACTACATTCCAAAACAAACACTCAATAACTGTTCTACTGACTAGCTTGGAGATATGATTCCTGAAATCCTAATCAAAAGTTTTAACCAGTGGAGTGTGAGGATGTTAGCAGAAGGATAGATATAATTGAATAGATCTAAACGACTCTTCAGTTGGATTGCGAATACAATGAATTTGAGAACGATAATAACTGAATCTTGACTCAGTGGTTCAGATATACTGGGTTGCCCACGAAGTAAAAAGGTTTCAGGTTCGAATCTTTTCGGACTTTGGATTCCCATCGATCAAGGAGTACAAATTAGGATGAAACCGTTGACAATTACTTCTTAGTCAAAGAATATTGGGTTTGTTCCGGATCCTCACACACACAATCCACATTTTCAAATATCTATTCAGTTGGATGGTTGTGTTGAGGTTAGTTAGGATTGATATTAAATAGTTAGGGGTGGAATTGTTCAAAGAAGAAAAACGTACATTCATATAGCAATCAAAATTTCATAACTTACCATATTTATAATTCAAATCATTGATCATCAATTCTGGACAGTGAGAATGATGGTGAAGAAAATGAGAATGACGATAATGATGACGAATGTTATGATAATGATGATGTACTGAAGAACATGAATCACATAAGTGTAAATCATTCATAGTATGTTGACTAAACTGTTGTCCAGGTGTTGTCTGTTTCGAATCAAATTCATAACACGATGAAATGAGGCAGTTTGTTAGAGGGCACTCACGTGTATAAGTAGTAGTAACACTATTGTTATTATTTTATTGTTATTATCATTATTGTCGTACATGGATTTTGACGCAGAATGGGTACGGTTTCCTCGTGGAGTGGAAAGATGTTTATCCTTGAAATTAGGATTTGTTTGCCAACTATGAAGGCTCCTATAATAATAATATTAATAATAACTAGGCTGAAGTTCACACTATATAAATTCCGACTAAACTAAATACAATTATTTAGGGATTTTACTTCATAACAAATAATCGGATTGCTTCAAAATAGCTCAATAGTAACGACTCTGACTGTGAGACAGTGGTTTGATTTTAAAATCCCATGAAGAGCAACAGCCTCTCCGAAATTCTAGATAATTCTGACTGACTTGTGCCAATTAGATTGAGAGCTTCACAGTCACTACATTAATTTGTCCGGAAGCTGAGGACTTATTGTTAAGGAACTCTATATCAGCCCATAAAGTCACTAACATCGGATCTGAGCCATATTGGTAGATGCAGACTGTGGATGACATGGCTCAGAATCGACCACAATGGCGTAGGTGTATACGCTATTTGTCTTCACTTAAACCGTGAAGTTAAAATTACTCAATGCTTTTCTTTATACGAACTAATTCTTTCTCCCTGTATCATATCCTGATATGCTATCTTTATTTATATAATATTACTACTAGTATTTGATCATAGGTGTCTTAGAAACATTGCTCGTATATCATGGGACCATCGAGTAGGTAATGCAGTTGTTAGGAAACGGGTACTAGGTAAGGACGGCAAATCAATTGATGACGTAGTGAAAATTCATCAGTTGAGATGGCTGGGACATGTGTTACGTATGCCCAACCACCGACTGCCTCGACGTGCCATGTTCAACGGTATAGGAGTAGGTTGGAAGAAAGCTAGGGGCGACCAGACCAAAACATGGCACAAGTCCATAAAGTCACTGACAAGTGGACTGAGTCATGTAGGTAGGTGTAGACTATCTGGTTGGGGACCGCGAGATGATAGCAACCGATGGTTAGAAACCCTAAATGAAATGGCTGAAAATCGTTTGCAATGGTGCAGGTGCATCCACTCTTTGTGTTCTCCCAAATTCTAATCTTCTGGATCCTTCATGTCCCTTTTTTTCTCTTTCCCAATTTATTTCACTAGATTATACTCTTTAAATAACATCTCCAAACCCTAATCTTCCCGATTACTGCTTATACTCTTATTACTTCTACCACTACGGGATTTGAATCGACAACTGCATCACTGTGCTAATGTGGTGTGGCAACTCGAACTGATGTACGTACGTACGAAGTTCTACGTTGTTATTGACTGACTGATAGTAGGCTAATGTTTCATAAAGTATAATACTCTGTAGATAATATTAATGTCACACAACAAAAAAGTGTGAATGTTTCTACTTAAAGGTCCCCCCCCAAAGAATCAATATAATACTAGCAATCATGTAAAAAATAATAATAAACACATACTGGCTTCGATTTTCTCGATTGTTGTTTACTTGTTTTCTTAAAGGTAGTTGATCGTATGCAGATGATATTCCTGAGTCAAAAGTACTCGATGTATCTGAAGCAGTAATAATGGGCAATTGTTGACTATGACAAGTAGTAGAATGTTGTGGTTTATCATTTAATTGATGAATATAATTACAATTACAATAGTTTGCTGATAAATGATCATTTAATGCTGATGGTGAATGTGTACAATGGATACAACGATGACATTCACATGGGATCATTATGCCAGGGTGTTGTTGACAGGTACCAGTAGTAGCAGTGGTAGTATTGTTAACAGAACATTTAGAATTCAAATTAACACCAGGGATTGGGTAAGATAGTGATGATGACGGTGATTCGTAAAAGATTCACATTGTTTACTTCTTCTTCTCAACCTACTACTACTAAACGGATATGCATGATTCAAATTTGAGGTTTCTTTAAATTGACTTGATTTGAAATATGACTTTTCGCTTGTATTTGTATGATTCTTTCTAACATAATCATTGTCACCATCGAATATTCCACGTGGATAATGACGTATAATTTTCTCAACTAGTTTAGCAGTTACTTCACCATTGACAAGAGCTAACTCTGTAGTTGATGATGATAAAGCTTGCAAACTAGCCGCTTCTAAAATTGATGCAGTGTCTACTGTATCATCCATAATATCTAAATCATCATGATGATGATGTAATCGATGCTTTTTTTCATAATAATTACTTACAACACCACTATCCCATGAAGCGATAGACCGTATATCAGCTTTATTAGGTCGATTGAAACTTCGATAAGTCACATTACCACCAGAAGCAGTAATATGTCGTCTTCGATGAGAATTATCTGATATTTCTGTCCTGTTATTATTATTATTATTTGAAGATACAAAGAAGAGTCTGTAGACGAAACAACTACTGTAGCAAATTTACTGTTTTCCATTAATTTTTTCATTTCATACTCTTTAACATTAGATCCATTGTGTACAATACCAGTTGTATTATGCTTCATTGAATTTACAAGTGTATCATCAGATAACATTGAAGGATACAGTGTATGCATCAAATCATTTTGTTGTCTTTTTGAATATGATAATAATAATTGGGTGTCAATATTCATATCGGATTCATCTGCCCAAATTCGTGAACAATGATCATCTAATATTTCTTGAGCATCTTGAAATTTATTAACATCATTATTCAATAATTGTGATCCAGTATTCATAATCAATGTAGAATTATGAGGATAATTTAATGTAGATTGTTGAATAGTTGAAGAATTTGTTTCATTCATTATACTATTAGTAGTATTTATAAATGAATTAGATTTTAATTGTAACCCATTTGAATAATCTAAATAATGTGATGAATTATGTTGATTAACAGCAGACATGAATTCATTTGGATCAGTTTGTCCTATTGGTAGAGTAGTTTTAGACTCTGTTGAATGTTTTTCATCAACCTATTCAATGTTAAGAGATAAAAAAAAAAACATTGTTTCAAGTTCATCTAAGTAGTTACATAAAAACTAGATGTTAATTTAATGAAATCAATTTAACGAGATTATAATTTATGGACCTAACTAATCAGAATTAGGATAAAATGTCTTAGATTTTGGCACGAAATTCACTCATCCATTTGGATAAATAGAGTTACTAACTTCTAATTTGAGCCATGTTGATAGATGCAGATTACTTGGTTGGGGTCCGCATGACTATCGTAACCAATGGTTGGAGACTTTTGGTGACATGACTCAGAATCGATCGATCACAATGGAGTCAGTGTATACACTCTCTGTCTTCGTTCGAACTAAGAGATTAAAATCACTTCATATCTTTTTTTCTACCAACTAATTCTTTCTTCCTGTACTATATACTATACTATACTATATACTATATACAATCCTTCTTTTATATATCACTACCATTGAATTGACTACTTCTATGAATTTGGTGTTGATCTTGTTCTGTTAATGAGGTATGGCAACTTGGACCGATGCATATATGTGCCTGGTCCTACGTTGTAGCTGACTGACTGACTGAATGAATGACTGTTTTGGCATTATAACTGATGTAAGTTTGTGATGAAAACCCTAAATCTAATTCCTAACCCTAACCATCAAATGTAAATCATAATCCTTATTCTTCAAACTGCTTCATAACCTTCATTTAGCCCTAGTAGGTAGGTAGACACTCTCAAGGTTACTTTAGCGTCACTCAATAGTCGTCCATAAATTATAGTCTCACCAATCAATTAACAAGTATATGGAAATATGCATGAAATTAACGAAACCTATGAAGATAATTAGTAAGAATCGGTTAACAGAATAATGATTTTCTCTTTTAAAAAAACTACTTGAAGTAAACACCGATGAGGTTAAAAATAACAATGAAGAAAACTTCACAATCAAACTACTTGGTTGAGAGGATATGATGTAACCTAAATGTTTGATGTTCTTATGAATGGCTAAGCCATAACTTTGACGTCCAATTTAAGGTGTACAATAGTGTTTAAGTAGTCTTATATTAAAGTTATATATCATATCAAGTTATATAAAGTTGAATGGTTCTCTAATAATCGACTAATTGTTTCTATAACTGTCCATGAAATAAACGCTTGACTTTTTCATTGTTGCGTTGAACCCTAAAGAATCTTCCCGTTGTGGTTCTTCTGCGTTAGGGAAGACATATCCAAACACATACTCCCACTAGAGCATAATCCGAATATAAATATATGCTCCAGAACGGACGAGTTTTCTGCCGAGCTTTTCGCATGATGACTGATATTGAAATGGTTTATTTGAGTTCATTCTTTGGATGATTTTGAGGGTTTCCATGTTAGACAATCACTCTCTTTATATTTTGGGTTGGACAGTAAGGTTGAGGACTAAGTTTAGAATAGTTCACTTTTTATCATAGCCTACATTTTAGATCCAGTATTCCTCCGTACATGACTTTCCATTCGTTTTTCGAAGCATATTCTCGATGATGATAGTAAAAATACTATATTTGTGTGTGAGAGCATGTGAGAGAATTTCGAGAGAGCGAGAGCTGACTCTCCACACTCTCGTCCGTATCAGGGCATTTGAGGGGCGTTTAAATGAGCATAGAATTTTGTCTGTAGATTAGGTTGTGGCGATTGTGATTAGTTCTACATTAGTGAGTCTTCTCGTGAAACCTAGACTCGTCCCAAGGAACACTTAAGCTACACAAAATGAATTAATAATAATGTAGAACTGTAAATTTACAAATTAAATCGACAATATCAGCAAATGCTATAATCAATAATCACCAAATCGATATCAAAATATCGAAATAAGTCAATAAAAGCTTTCCCAACTATGAAGAAAGGCCAGTAAATGAAGCGTTTCATATAGTGTTAAATCTGCCCCCAAATGCCATGGTACGACCGAGAATGGGGAGGGATCGCTCTCCCTATCGAAATGTTCTCACATGGCCACACGTATATAGCCCCTCTGCCAGGGAAGTCCTACTCACTGCTTTCTCATGACGGGGGTGTTGTTTACGAAATTGAGAGGACGAAAAGCGAATGTCCAGCGATCTAGCCGGGTTGGTGGACACAGAGAGTCCACCTAGGGAAGTTGGAAAACCCTCACTCCAAATCAATGCTGCATATGAGCTCCAGGATCCTGAGGGAACAAATGGAGTATGAACCAGTCGTTGGTCACCGGCTACCATGGGACTGCCATATGGATCAGACCTTTAGGTCAACGGCTCCGGGTGTGGCCCCCTAAGAAAACCACCTACTCCAATTTGGGCACTCAGGCAGCGCACACACAAATCGAATGATTTATGTAGCGCATATCTCTATTTGGTACCTTCTTGTACCAATGTTTATGTGTTTAAACAAAATAAAATAAAACACAACTTACCTGATGATTAACAAGTGACATTAATTTTTCTAATTTACCACGTGATTCTTTTATTTTTTCTAATCGATCTGTTAATAATTGAACAAATGAAACTGGATCTGATTCAGCTAAATTTGTTTGTTTTCTTATTGTCCAGTTTATTTTGGGAGGATTATTATCATTATTATTATTATTATATTAGTAGTAGTATTAGACTCTTTTATGAGGTTATCCGATTGATGTGTTTGTCGTAAATTAACCGAATGCATAAATGGTAAATCAACATTATTTGATGTTGAATTCACTGACTGCATTGTTATTACTGATGAAGATGTGATAGGTGCTTGTGTTAATAATTGACTTGAGCCGTTTCCAGGATGTGGATTATTATTATTATTGTTATTATTATTATTCATAAAACACGGTTGATTTGTGAATTGTGATTGACTGTCACAAATGTTACTGCTATCATGTTGTCGTTTTGAACTGGTTGTATCTTTTGCATGATTGTCTGTTTGTTGTAGATGACTATCAGTTAATCTAAACAACAATATTAATTATCAAGAATTAGATGTAATAAGATAAATGAATTAAACAAACGATTGGTTAAATGAAGTTTTATAGAGACTGGTTGTCACAATTGATTGATCACTGGGTGGTGATCAATGTCATGCGTGTGTAGTCCTTATTATTAGTACAGATCGAATGCTATCGATCATGTAGCAATGTGGTCACCAGTCTAGGTGACTCGACATTGTGATTACATCTCAGTCCTACAGGAGGTTAGTCACGGCTCGGATAGCTCAGTGGTAACGTCTCTGACTGTGAAGCTGGGTGACACGTTATCAAATCCTCCAGGGAGCACCAGTTCTCTCAAGATTACAGGTACACCTTGCTGACGAGTGCCAAGTAGCACGAAACCCGGGTCCAGGGTTTCCTGTTGACCACCTCCAACCACCAGCTAAGAGACTGGTTGCATTTGTCATAGATTGATTTCAGTTGGAGTGGTTGTGTATTGTACTGTGTAGAAGAGTCACAATACTAGGATGAAACATCTATCCAGTGTTCTCTGGTTTTTAATAATACTGTAACTGAAACTAATCTATGATGGATACAACGTACAAATACTTCGTTAGTGAATTCAATTCATCACTTATAATCAGCGGTGGGCCTGATGTAAAGATATTTCAGCCCAAGTTGCTACATATCATATTAGGACAGTGATGAGAAAAATAATGATACCAATTTAAGTGAGAAAGTAAACATGAAATCTATCAAATGAGTGTTATTTGTAATGATTTGTATTTCTCTGTTTTCTCTATACTTTTAACTGAATTTGAGGTATCTGTTGACGCATAGGTTTCAATGACGTGGAGACTAGATACTAGGGTGAGATGATAATTTATGAACGACCTTTGAGTGACATTAGACTGACCTTGAGAGTTTTCACTTAATAAGTAGGACCAAATGAGAGTTATAAACCTGTTTGGGGATTATAATTATAGTTTACAGTTGATGATTAAGTTTAGGAATTAAATTTCGGGTTTTCATCACGAACTGACATCAGCTATAATGCCAAAACTCTATTTATCCAAATCGATGAGTGAATTTCACGCAAAAATCCGATATCGGTTATCTTATACATGATTAGTCCGTCCATAAATTATATTCTCATCGATACTAGTTATGGAAAGATTAATCTAACCTATAATCAACTGATTTCCTCCGAAATTTGTAAATAAACAATCAAAGGATTGAGAAATTCATCGACAATTAACTGATCACTGGGTAGTGATCAATTTCATGTGCGTTATATTAGAGTTTCCTACTGACTACCTCCAACTACAATCCTTTGAATTCTTTCCAAATATGGTATTATTCACAATTAAGGTATAATATCGATTTTGATTCCACCGAAGATAAGAAAAAGCCGACACCAAACTATGACGAAACAAAGAAAATTCTATGACAAAATCATATCACTTATCACTTAATCAAGCACACTTTAGATTATTTCATTTTAATAAATTAGGTCAAATGTATGAATCCCCTCTGTATGTAAGTGTGTGTGTGTATGTACGTGGAATTGTTATATGATTAGAAAATCTATAAAATTATAAAAAAAATATATTCCTTTGTAAGTTTACCGGGATTTGATTTGTACATGTTCCATTGAAAAGTAGAATAATCAAAATATTATAAAGGCTATTCACATTCACATTCACATAGAAACATTTATAGAAAATGTGCATAATACAGAAACAAAAACAAAAACATAACATGGATAGATAGACAGACAGACAGACAACAAACAAACCGATTTTTTGTGGACAAACAATCAATAGGTAAACAACACAAGTAAACATACATACATAGAAACAGTTATGTAGATATAATCCGATGACAAAAGAGGCAAAGTTTTCCACGTGTGTATATATGTATGTATGTATGTATGTATATATACACATATAAACACATAGATAATACATAAGGCTTGTCATAAATACCGTCGCCGCCATTGCCGCCATAGTTAAAGGACGCTTTTAACCGACAAATAAAAATAAAGTAGATTTGTTTTTGATGTTGAAGTGTGTGTGTGTGTGTGTATTTATGTACGTGGATTTTCATATTGAATTATGCACATATCACCCGCTTTTTTTTCAGAAAAACAAGCTTTAACTATCATCATTCTGCTTGTAACAACATTCAACAATATAAATGATAATATTCATGATACTAATAGTAATAACAATAGACCTATTAGATTAAGAGAAAGAGAGAGAGAGAGAGAGTAAAACTGTCTTCATTTCATTAAAACACTAAAACGAATAAAGTATGTAGGCATGTTGTATATACCGCGGTGATCAATGCAACCAATTTGTGTTGGTAAATGACAGTGTATCAGTTAGTTATGACAGGATTAATCGCGGCAATATGTATATATATATGTGTATACTAACATTTAAACAAACAGTGAAATGCACTTCCGTGACTATGCATAGTACATATCAATGAATGTATAGGGTAGACAACAACAATACAGCTGTTAAAAATTATTAAAGACGTAGAGAAATTATGATTATTGTTTTTAACAGTAGTAGTAGTAGTAGTGGTAGTGTATGTCTGAATAAGTAAAATCGATAGAGTTTTGTAGAAAACGAAAAAAAGCAATGAAACAAACGAATTCGTCATGAAAAAAAAGCTTGATACATAGATTTAAACAGACTTATTTGTGAAAGTACAAAGAACATTACACTTGGTAGGGTAAGGTAAGTTAGAAGAAACAGCATAAGTGATAAATGTTCATGATCTATCATGTATTTTTTAAACTCAAACATAACAACAAAATGATTGCGTAATCAGTTTATTAGTAATATATTTCTTTTTAAAAAATAATCTTTGTCAGAAGCCGTGACCACTGGAGCCGATCCGTGTCGGGTAGAAATAGGTATCTACCTCAGTACAATGGAAGATGGTCGCGCAATTTCGTGAATTGGTTGAGATTAGGTATTAGCACCACTGGATGCTGGCTCAGTGGTCCAGTAGGTTAACCGTTCGCGCGCGAGACTGAAGGCCGTGGCTTTGAATCCCGTGACAGGGATCGTGGGTGCTCACTGCCAAAGAGTCCCACAATAGGACGAAACGGCCGTCCAGTACTCTCATGTTTTCAATGGTGGTCTAGCATCAATCGGTTCATGATCTCAATCAAAAACTAATAGAATTAGTTAGACGTATTTCGCCTGTATAAATGCCCTAAAGTAAGTTTAAGGGGTGTCCTCTCAATGTGTACGGTATAGTTAAATTTCATATACCACCTAAATCAAAAATTTATATATATACATATTAGAAATATTTAACAATTGTAAAAGGTGTTCCTTGATACACTCAAAAACACTAGGACAGTTTCATTTCATTCTATAAGACAAAAGATTTGACCATCATCCTCGATCAGTATCCATCAAGGTTGTTCAATTATATATATATTTATGTTTAGTTGCTTAATGAATATCTTCCTGAAGGTGATGCCATCACTAGACAACTTTTCATAGATTATTGACAGCTTAATTAAAGACTTTTTAATCAATTTTAAGTATATAAACGACAGTTTTATTTGTTATGTATTCTAAGATGATACAGTGTTCTAAGTTCACCAGTTAACAATCTGGGAATGTTTCGCCAACGTTTCACTCCCTCCAAGTTCAATATGCAGTTTCTGGTGTCTCCAGTCTGATAGATAGGTGACATAATTTCATCACGCTTATGAATAAATTGTCTGGCTTTGGTCAACCTGAATTGTTTGATCATTAAAGGGGAAGTTTATTACTATCTTTGTAGGTTTCTTAGAAGTATTGCTCATATGAGGTAAGACTGTCAAGCACATGTAGTGCTATGAAGTTACATCTGTTGGAATATTTGGGATAAGCATTGCACATACACAACAGCCATTTACTAATTGATCAACATACGAGTATATCAGAGAGGTGATAATGGTAATCAAATTAAGAAATGGGATTAGTCCATGAAGTGATTGATAGATAACAAAATCCACTTAATAGTACTGGAATAGCGTATAAATATATGCTAAATATTGTTGAATAAGCGTTAAAAATTCCAATAATCAAAAGTAATTTTCAGACTACTTTTTAATAGACATCACTCAGTAAGTTCAGTAAACTTAAATATTGAAATGTGTCTAGTTTACTGGGTCATAACTCAACATTACACAGTGTACTATGCAAAAAGACTGGTGTTCACCTTATAAAAAACTAACTGAATTATTTGATATTTAGCGTATTCTATAAAACATACATATATGTGTCTTCCCGTTGGTACTAAAAACTACAAATGATCCGTTATCTCAGAAATATGTGCATCCTGAGAAGATTGCCTATGTTCTGTTAGATATTCACAACGATTTTAACAAAGTTGGGTAGTGGCTAGGAATGGGATTCAGAAAATTCAGTGGACAACGAATTGGACATTTGAAACGTAAGGTAGTGGGATTTGGAGTCCCGGTCTGAATATCAACACTGAGATGCAGGTACACCCAGTTAGCGATTTCCAAATCAGATGAAACAAACTCTCGGAATTACATTGACAGCTACTACACATACATTACGCTTCGATTCACATTTATTATATGATATCTAGACATAACAATCAACTAAGGAATCGGAAGAATAGATGGTTTGAACATTCCTGTGTACTATTTCATACAATTTATTTATTCGAACACATAGATATTGGTACAAAGGGGCACTGAATACATATGCGCAACATAAATCATTCGATTTGCGTGTAGGCTATGATACTGCCCGGGTGCCCAAACCGAAGTAGATGGTTTTCTTATAGGGCATCCACACCACGAACCTTCGACCTAAAGGTCTAGTCTACAAGGTAGTGGAGTAACGTCAAGAGATGCAGTTCCCATGGTAGCCGGTGATCAATAATTGGTTCATGCACCATTTGTTACCTCGAAATTCTATAGCTCATCTGCACTATTGGTTTGAAATAAGACTTTTCCAACTCCCCTAAGAGGATCATTCATACAAGCAAGATTTAAACTTATGACCAACTCGGTTATAAACCGAAATGTCTTAACCATTTAATGTACTAACCCGTATAACGGTTTAAAAATCTATAATCAATAAAGAATAACTTCTAGTCAATCTATATGTTGTAAGCGTTTTATAACACATACACACTACATAAATGAATTTACCTTTGATCTTTTTATTTGTATATACATAATGTTATTCATTCTCTTTTCTCTTTGTTGTTTATATATGTATCTATGACTAAACTATTGACTTAATCTGTATCATTATCTTTTGTGTTCTGTTGTGATAAAGCCAGAAAAAAATAGAATCTTTTTTGTTGTTGCATATTGCTATTTTTTTTTTAGTGAAACAGTTACTTTGAATAACTGAAACATTTGTATGTCGGAAAATCGCTTTGTAGTTACAAAGTGAAATAGTTGCATCGGAACGCACACACACACACACACAGAGAGAGAGAGAAAAACCCATATATAGAGACGGTAAGATATACATCCAAAGAATATTGGTTACTAGTAGTAGTATAGATATACAATGAATAAAAGTATTACTTAGGTATAATATAGAGCCGTTTACTTACTACTACATGGACGATAAACATAGAAACTTGCTCAGAGACATAAAGAAACCATATTCACAATTTGTTTTTTAATATGATGATGACTTAAATTATTCACTCAATTCACATGTATGTAAATCAATGAAATTCTTTTAATAATCAGTTACTATCAATATAGTAATAATAGTAGTATATGCTAGGATTGATTTTTCTCAATATGAGTGTTGTATTATTCTATTCAACTTTATAATATCAAATCAACTTTATGGTTACATATAAAGAAGTATAAAAGAAAATTGAACTAACCAATACATAGAGAAAGAAATGAAGTACTCTGTTACGTGTAAGGTATGTATATATATGTACGTGTATATATTCGAATAAATTTAAAGATCAAAAGATTAAGCGGCATTTTTCACCTTGAGAAAACATATTTAGTAGTAGTAGTAGTAGTAGTCGTAGTAGTAGCAGACTGTACATAGTTGACTAGACATAATTATAATACTAATATTAATGAATGGAATTATTTGTTAACAACACGAACCAGTATACTACAGTTTTACCATTCCAATACTTATATGAAGGTAAATTGGATGATTCCATAAAATAGTTAAGCTTAAAAATATGAATTTTGACAAGTTTAAACTTAGTTGTTTGAGAGTATTGAATGTTAAACAAACCGTAGACTTGAATTTCCTCAGTTCCAGTTCAAGATGCAACAGTTAATGCTTATTATTGATGAGTAGTTACAAATCATGTTGATAAATGAATCGTGTTTTTTTTTTAGTTTTTCAACGGTTCATATGAGAGGGAGACAATAGCATCAAGAGATCTCTCGCCTTTATGTTGAATGGTAACTGATACTGGAGGATTAACTCAATTTAGAGATGATGAGTTTTTGCCTAAGGGATTAACATTAATTGGAGTAAACATTGAATATCAAAAACTACTGAAATATCTGTGTTGTCTTAGTATCTAAAACAGTATATACATATGACGTTTACGTTCTGCAAAGAATACCAGATTATGAATTCAGTTAGTCAGGATTTAATTGACACCATTTTCAACTTCAATAAATAAATCATCTCAAGTAACACTCAATTCTAATGTTATCGATAATAATCATTTTGATGGAGTTTTGTTCTCTGAGCTGGATAGTTTGGTCGTAGAGCTTTCATCGTTCTTTTGAACGACATCATTAGCACAAACTTCGGATAGAAGTGAAGTGTTCAAATTTCTCCATATGCGTTTTACAGCTTGTTCATTCTATTCCTTATTGAAATATCAGGCATCTATTTGAAAGTTAGTCATTAGGCGAAGAAACAATTCATGAATCAATTATGGTACAACTATTCGTTTCATTGACTTGACATTGTGGTATATTTTGTAATATGATCAATAAAGAATTAGGGCTGATAATCAAGTGTAATTTCTACTAAAAAAATGTATAAACCTACAAAACTTATATACCCTAATTAATTGTTTGTTAAGTGACATTTAATTTTGCTTATTTTTCTAGAAATTTTTTGTTCTACTAGATGGAACACCAATTGTTATAACTCTTTGTCTTCTTACGGTTAATGACCCAGCTATTCCTATTGCTTAGTATTCTCGGACACCGATTCACTCGACAAGTCCCCAAATCAAAACACGGTTGAACAGGAAAGAGATTATATTCCAAATAGCAAGTCAGAAGCACAATAGGGAAAACGTCAGTATATTTATAGTTTTTACATAAAAAGATTCCAGTGTTCTCCAACTATCGGCTAGTGCTGATTGGGTAAGAATTAGCCAATCAGCGTGCACCAAAGCAATCATGCATTGAGCATGCTTTAATCCGGTCTATGTCCCGCTAACACCAATATATATATATATTATATATATATATATATATATATATATATATATATATATATATATATATATATATATATATATATATATATATATATATATATATATATATATATATATATATATATATATATATATGTCAGATGATCAGTCAGTCGGTCGGCAACAACGCCGAACTTCGTACGTACGTACATCAATTCGAGTTGCCATACCACATTAACACAGGGATACAATTGCCGCCCGCCATCCCTCCCTCTCGAAATGCTCTCACACGGCCACACGTATATAGCCTCTGCCAGGGAAGTCCTACTTACTGCCTTCTTGTGGCATCACTGTTGTTTACGAAATTAAGAGGACGAAAAGCGAATATCCGACCCTTTAACTGGATTCCAAACCAATGGTGCATATGGGTTCCAGTATCCTGTGGGAACAAATGACGTATGAACCAATCGTTGGTCATCGGCTACCAGGGGATTGCATCTCCTCACGATGCTCCACTGCCTTGTGGGTTAAACCTTTAGGTCCAAGGCTTAGGGTGTGACCCCCTAAGGAAACCACCTGCTTCGGTCTGGGTACCCAGGCAGTATCCCAGCCCTCACACAAATCGAATGATCTATGTGGCGCATATCTATTTAGTACCTCCTTGTACCAATGTTTATGTGTTTAAATAAATAAGTAAATATTATAATTTAGCTTCTATATAATGCGATAGATAAGGCTTCGTGCTAGAACTTAGAACGGAAGCAGACAGACAATATAATGCAGAATACTTGTAATATCAATAAAGTACTATCATCATCATCATGACAACAAGAAAAGAAACACATACTCAACTAGGAATACATGAAAAACATTGAAATGATAGATAGCTATTCCCATTTATATCAAGCTATATTGTGTAAAAATATAACTCTATCCTATTCGCCCAATTTTCCATACAAAAAAAAAGAGAATAAAACGCCTGATATTTCTTATTGGACATTGTTTTTTCTACACGTACATACCACTATTGTACACATTTGGAACTGCCTAATTTATTTATTCTTGTATATGTGAGATTTACATAAGAAAAGATGAAATGATCTTACACATACACATAAGCACACACACACATACAAAGAGATGATAAGCACTAAATGTATGTATGGGTAGTGTGCATGAAAAGTTACGGACAGAAAGGATAGAATACAAAATGACCACCACGTAATAAGTAACAATTTGAGAGAAAGTTATTTATTGACAAAATGAGGAGGAAAAAGGGCATCATAATCGATAATCACGTATAAAAACAAATAGTACAATGCAACCATCATTACTACTATTACTACTCCTACTACTGATGATGATGATGATAATAGTAACAATAAAAACTAGAACAACATACATGGAATCATTCGCTGTTGCAGGCATTTTAGAAATATTACCAGGTAATGGATAGTCGTCAATATTAAAGAATTGATGACGGCTAGTTGATCGATGGTGATGATGATGTGATTTACTTGACTTATCATAGTGAAAATCAGGTTGTGCAGAATGAATAATTGGTGATTGGATTGTTGAAGATGTCCAACTGGTAGTTAGTCGAACAAAAGGATTTGTAGAAATTTGTTCCAAAGTCGAAGGTATATTACAATTATTATTATTATTGGCAAGGTTATAATCTGGAGTGAATAAGGGATGAAAATTCTTGGCGCCAGGAGATCTAAAAAAAAATGATATGCAATGATAAATAAACTTAGTAAACTGAATTAAAACTAAAAAAAACTATGATTTGATACAGATATTTTGAACAATTGACACATCCTATGATAGACAGTCAAATGGAATACATATTTTTCAAAGAGTCAACCAAATCCAAGCTTAAACAGTGAAAACAATTACTGACTTCAATCTTTATATCAACAATATAGTTTGAAGAAGTAAGTGATTGAGAAATGTCGTTAGAATAACGAATATCAAAAAAGAGCAATAATCAAGATGACATACAAGCACTACCTTCTTATGTATTTGAAATAGCCTCTCAGTCGCGTGTTGATATTAAACAGTGAAACACTGGAAAACAAAATGACCAAGGACTATTGGGACCTCACAGTTACAAATGTTCAGTTTTCCACAGGTCTACCATAAAATACCAACATCTTTGGCGTATTGATTCAGAATTATGTGTTCCAAATATGAAACTCGCTACTACAAAAGAGTAGTGGGAATTATTCAAATATATCAATGATATCGATTTTCCAATATTTAAATCTAACAAGCAACATGCAACCTGACACATAAGAAAACTGGTTCAACTTGGCACACTTCATCAGCGCAGCAAAATGAAAATATTAAGACAATAGCAAGAATAGTAGAAATGGTAACAGTATCATATTGGCAGAAAAGGTTAGACACCGACAGTATGATTCGGGAAGAAAAAATGAGTTTTGAAAATAAAACATGAAAGTTAATTAAGAGCATAAGATCTAAGGAAGGATAAAAAGGGAATAGATCTGCTCCATTATAACTGATTCTGATCCATTATTGAACGTCTAAATTTAACAACAGGTTTCAGTCTAATTGCTGATGACTTTATAGAAGCAAGAAGTAGATAACACAATCGATGATATCTGAAAACTACCCTACTTCGGTTGAGAGTTTATGCATTTGAAAGTATAAACCGTTTTTCATCAGTTTAGGAAGTTATATCGTTTCTAAGAGGATTAGTTATTGATATAATCACCACATGTATATAGGGAAGATTTCTTTTCACAACAACGTCTCAGAGGCTTAGATTGGTGTTCTGGACGTAACTGGCTGGGCTAGGTAGGAAGTAGGACTGACAAGTACTGTAGACTGATTGTACGTGTTTCATGCGTCGTCATTGGTCCGGTCGATAATCACTGTCTCTAATTGGGCACACAGGCCAAAACTTGTAACACAAATACTATCGACCACTTAAGCTCTTCTCTAATTTTTAGTAACCAACGGCCTTCTGACTTTCATCTTTACATTGAATATTTGGTTGCTTTTTCAAATTGTTTTATAGAAAGTGAAGAAATATATTTCTACAGTTGAGATCATGAGCCAATTGAAGTTATACCACCATGGAAAACCTGGGAGCACTGGACGGCCGTTTCGTCCTATTGTGTGACTCCTCAACAGTGCTCACCCACGACCCCGCCCCGTGGGACTCGATCCCAGGACCTATCAGTCTCGCGCCAGGGGCTTAACCAACTACACCACTGAGTCTGCCGGCACCCAACGGTGTTAATGTCTAACTTCAATTAATTCATGAAATTGAGCGACACATTCATCATTGTGATCAGTGAGTTACTATCTCACAAGTGACCCGGTTGAAATCCACTGGTCACTGCTTCTCACTAGAACTCCATGATATACCACTTGAAGACAGTCACTAGTGAGCATATGTTGATTAATATCAGAAGGGGTTTTGTGGAGATTGTAGTAATTTCAACAGTTGAGATCATGAGTTAATTGAAGCTAGACCACCATGAAAAACCTGGAAGTACTGGACGGCCGTTCCGGCTCGAGGATAATAGGTTCTATGTTGGAATCTCGCGAGGCGGGATCGTAGATACACATTGATAAGGAGTCCTACAATAGGACAAAACGACCGTTTAATGCTTCCAGGTTTTCTATGATGGTCTAGCTTCAATGAACTCATTGAAATTACTACAATCTTCACAAAATCCCTTCTGATACAAATATATTTCTGTATATAGATTGTTAAAAATAAAACGAAAGTCATAGTTATCATCATCATCATCACAATATACCTTCACATAAAATTAAACAAACAAAATATTAAAAAAAAATAGTCATAAAAATCCTCTATTCTATTTAAGAGAATATCATTCACACAAATAATGGAATTTTATGAGTCTCTCTTTCTCGTGCACTACCTTACACACAAGCGCATGTTCTCTGTTCTGTAAAACGTTGCGCTTAATTTTTCTCTAGTTTTATTGCATTGTCGCTATTCTTTTTTGTTGTTGTTGTTGTTGTTTACTTTGATGTGTGATTTCTCATTTCTTTAAACAGATAGATAGATAGAATCATAGGTGGTGTCTTTTGATGTGAGATGCCGACAATAAATATTTAACGTTTTCTTATAAAATAACCCTTTTACTTTCTAACATATGCACATACACGCATCCATTCACATTCTCCACCCCTATATACTTTCGTGTGCACTTAAAACATTCATTGCTTTTATGTCTAATGCACTGACATAAAATTTTGTTTGATCGTACATGTATGCGTACATATATGTATGTATGTATGTGTGTGTGAGTGGGCGTTGAAAGTTTCCATTTTTGCATAAAATGTTCTTTTTTTATGATGTTAATATTCTTGATATAAAAAAAACAGAAGCGTAAATGTTAGGTAAAAGAGCGTTTATTATTTTGTTGTTGTTGCTGTAGTCACTATCTACTATTACTACTACTACTACTACTACTTATTTTTAATACGATACTACTAATTTAGTGTATGTATCTAACTATGTGTATCTATTCACTGTTTGCTTATTACACCGATTACTATTACACATTAGAAAAAGAAACACATAAAAAGTGTAGAAATAAGTTAAATGGTAAAATCATGTTTAGATCAAAGAATAAAATTGAATTGTGAAGAGTTTAGTTTCTTTTGTCAAATGACCTTAATTTTACATAAACTATATGTAAAACCGTAAGTGATATATATATATATATATATATATATATATATATATATATATATCAGATGGGCTTTGTGGATATTATATGATCATATGGTCACTAGTGACTGGCTTCACGAGGTATATCCTGGAGTTCTAGTGAGAAGTAGTGACCACTGGAGACAATGGTGGATGCGTCGGTCAATTTTGTGGATTAGTTGAAGTTAGACATTCACACCATTGGATGCCGGCCAGATCAGTGGTCTAGTGGTTAAGTGCTTGCGCGCGAAACCAGTAGATCCTGGGTTCGAATCTCGCAGGAGGCGAGGTCGTGGATGCGCACTGTTGAGGAGTCCCACAATAGGATGAAATGGCGTCTAGTGCTTCCAGGTTTCCAAAGGTGGTTTAACATCAATCGATTCATGATTTCAACCAAAAATTTAACAATCTCCACAACCCCTATACTAGTAAAATGAAATTAGTTGATCTTAATTTGACCTACATATACTAGGCATAAACCTATTCAGTATATGATATGATATCTTCAATATCTAGTTGTTTCTTTTTATAACAAATGAGGTTGTAAGTTCGAGCCACATTCCACTCTGGTTCAATTAAGCAAGATAAATAATAATCACACAAAAGATGTTTTCAGAATTAGTATAAAAATAATTTTATCCATTTCACAAAAAATGGATTAGAGTTAAAGAGGCTTATGAAGTTGTTATTGACTGCTGAACTAATCTGTGTTGATAGATTTAGTACCATCTGATTTCTAAGCAACCATGGTAATTAATAGTCGGAGATATTCGGTAGCATGACTTAAAATCAGTTACAATGGAGTATATCCATTCGCTTCTTACCTTAACATGATACTGTTATCATTTCCACTATTATGACTATTATCCTGATAATTTCATTTCACTGTGCTGATAAGGTGTGGCAACTTGAACCAACGTTACGTTCTATGTTGCTTGTGACTGATTCACTGTTTCTTTACTAGACAGTTTCATTGAAGTTTGTTAACAATACAAAGGTAAGAATGTTTCAGCAAGAAACTAGTTTTAACTACTATTCCCATATGTCTGGATATCGGATATAAAAATCGAGGAAAACTTTTAGTCCTACTTTTGAATTCATCAATTAAATCCATTAACACCTCAAAGTCTCTAACATACAACACTAAAAACACTTGGCCTAATTTCAGTATCTCACTCCTTTATCATATTTGTCACTAATCTAGTGAAAATCTGTTAGTTACTCTTTCCATACCGATTAGTATTCCCTTGACATAAGTATCAGCCAAACTAAGAATGTTTAGTCTCATAGTACCCCATTCACTAAGAAAGAGTTTTAGAACATTTAGTTTCAACCTACATTGCTTTTGTAAGGGCTAATAATACTGACTACCTTGATCCAAGGAGAATCAGGGTTCTAACTAGTGACATGGTGGTTATAAGTTGTGTTTTAAAACCAGCAAACCACCAATATACGAAATTTTGTCTCGTAGGGTATAATTATAATAACTGGTTTTTGTTTTTACAAAAAGTGATGTTAAGTAGTTAATATTTTAATTTACAGTTTAAAGTGTAAAACAGCTGATATTAAACTCAATCAGTCATTAATTAATGCAGGACCTAGCACAAGTTACCACGATTCGCATAAATTAACAAAATGGAAAAAAACTCTAGTATTACTTGCTTGGTAGTTCCATTGTACGTAAAATATGCTTTAAGAACATTTGTGGTCAAATGCTAAAAACTTTCAAACACACTGTCCCAGACTTTAAGCAATACAGGAATGATTATTGCGCAACGAAAAAACATCCCAACTGCATTATACGTGACATAGGCTGACAAAACCAAACACGATCTTCACAATCACGATAAAACTAGGACTATCCTCTCAACAACAAATCACTGCTAACAAAACTCTTAAGACAGTAAAAGTGGTTGACTCTCGCTGCTACCTTATTTCCCGTCATCAGACAGATCAATAATGGAGACAGATTCAGATGCCTGATTTTCCATTTTTAAGGAGCGAAACGTGGCCAAAACGCCCCCATATGTTCATCAATGAGTTCGAAACTTTGCATCATACTAGAATATCCAGCAAATAGAACTATGTCATTTGTTTTAAACTAATGAATTCTCCAGGGAAGTGACTGATCTTTGGAAAGTCATCTAATGAAGGCATTACCTCTAGAAACGTTTCTGGATATGGTTGGACAATTCTGACGGAATCCACTAGATGATGGAGATTAAATATTTCATCATATTTACATGGGGGTGAAATGGAATCTTTTTAGTATTTTAGGGTTTACCGAATGCTACATTCTAGTCGAGAACTACCTTTACAATTGACTGTTGCTAATATCGTTATACCGACATTAATGTTACGCAAAATTAATGAATTGGAATTGAGTTGTTATACCCAACAGCAATAAGTTAAACTAATTTATTCATCGGATAATTGGGTATGAACTACACTAAATGTGAAGGCTAACAGTTGCCCAAACCAAAGTACGTGAGAAGTCACTCAAAGACATGAATCAATAGGTGAAAGTAGAATGCCCTAACCACTGAGCCGCCACTCCACAACAATCGTGTAATGAGATGTATACACTTCCAATCGAGCCCAGATGACTTACCTCCGGCTCTTTTTAAACATGGTGGTGACTTTCTGACTAAGGAATTGACGACGTTGTTTACAAAGGTTTGGGAACTAGAGAGTGTACCAACGTCATGGAATGAGTTGATAGTTGTCCCTATCTTTAAAAAGGGTTCACGTCGTTCCTGTAACAACTATCGGGGGATAAGTCTACTTCCGATTGCGTCCAAGCTATTGGCTTCCGTCATACTTCGTAGGTTGTTCAAAACCTATGAAAGATTGACTCGCGAGAGGCAGGCTGGGTTTCGTTCTGGTCGAGGATGTATTGATCATATCTTCACCCTCCGCCAAATGTCAGAACACCGCCATACTTATCAAAGGCCAACAATCGTAGTGTTTCTTGACATCAGGGCTGCCTTCGATTCGTTGGACAGGACTGTTCTCTGAGATTGTCTATTGAAGAAGGGTGTGTCTGAGAATTTTATTAACATCCTAAAAGCCCTATATACAAACACCTCAGGCAGAGTGAGGGCATACAACAACCTTTCTCCGTCGTTCCATTCGAGCAGTGGGGTTAGGCAGGGTTGCCCGATCTCACCATTCCTCTTCAACTTTGCCATCGATGACATTCTGGAAACAGCTCTGATGGGTGTAAGTAATGGTGGTGTGGATCTGTTGCCCGGAGAAAGATTTCTCGACCTTGAGTATGTGGATGATATTGTCTTACTGTGCGATAATGCCCAAGCCATGCAATTCGCACTTAATCGGTTGGCAATCAGTGTCCGTAAGTATGGTATGTGCTTTGCACCTTCGAAGTGCAAAGTACTTCTACAAGACTGGCAGGATCGTAATCCTGTACTCACCCTGGATGGTGAGCAGATAGAAGTAGTCGAGAAGTTCGTGTATCTAGGTAGCTGCATAAGTGCTGGTGGAGGTGTGAGTGATGAGATCAATGCACGAATAGTGAAAGGCAGAGCGGCTTATGCCAATCTGGGCCACCTTTGGCGCCTTCGTGATGTTAGTCTGGCTGTACAAGGTCGGATCTACAACGCGTCAATGAGAGCAGTTTTGCTCTATGCTTGTGAAACCTGGCCTCTCTGAGTTGAGGACGTTAGAAGACTCTCTGTGTCCGATCATCGTTGTCTCCTAAGGATTGCCGACATCCAGTGGCAACACCATGTTAGCAATGCAGAGGCTCGGCACCATGTGTTTGGGCGCAGAGACGATAATGCAATTGGTGTCACCATCTTGAAACACCGACTTCGGTGGCTTGGACATGTTCTACGAATGTCGTCCCAGAGAATTCCACGTCGTGCATTGCTTGCCGACTCTGAGACTGGTTGGAAAAAGCGGAGGTGGCCAGTGTATGACATGGTGTCGGGGTATGAAAGAACGCTGCAAAGGGGTGGCTTCTGTTGGTCCTCCACGACTCCTTGGCTGGGGTCCGAGAGATGGTGCGGCACAGTGGCTAGAGACTTTATCAGATATGGATCAGAATATTAGCCAGTGGCGATCCTGCTGTAACCTTCTTTTACTTTCTTCATAAAAAGTGGTTGTGTCTTCCTTAACTGAAAGACTTCTTTTAATTGTACCTTTCCGTTCCCCCATTTTTACCATTATTATTATTACACCACCTTACATCAATCTCTTCGTTATTATTCTTTTTTTCCTTCGCCTTAAATTCTCATTGTTTTGTGTGGCGCATATATATTTAGTGCCCCCTTGTACCAATATTTATGTGTTCAAATAAGTAATAATTAAATATACACTTCCAATAAATGGTTGTCTAGTTTTAGTTCGGTTAATTTTACCAGTAAAAACTTCGGTATTTTATTAGTGTTTATTGGTTAGACATCAACCTCGCTAAAAGTACGTCATATAATTTATTTTTTAAGAAAATCAGCAGTTAGTTTCTTTTGCGCTTATAACCACGTATTGGGCTATTACTCTTTAGTGTTTCTATTCTAAACCTGAGATCATATTCAACTTTTCTTTCGCACAATATATATGTGTTCATGTTTTAGCGATATAATTCACGACCTGCATCGGTATCGATTGTATTCAATACGTAATTGATGGGTGGAAATAAAATATGGATTCAAAATGACTAAACATTAAGAAGAGATTCTTTCCTATTCTTTTTTACCAACAGTTTCGTAAATATTTCTGGCATTTCTATGGTGCTAACATCAATCGGTCTTTGAAATATCGAATTAATAAGTAACGGTAAGTTAATACATACATTAGCCACCAAAGATGGTAATAATATGCAAATATAACCTAGGATTAGAGGTATACCTCACTAAGTATCAGACAGGGAAAGTCCTATCCCTTCATATATACAACTCAGCTTCGTAAAGTATTGGCAAATTATGACGTAGTTAAAATTTGAGTTACGGATTGATTGTTTATCTTTTACTACTGTAAAACTGTTAGTTAAATCACTTTTAACCAGTAAATCACAGGTTAAAACTATATCCTAACTAATTTATATTGGTACCAGGTAGTATCATTCAACCTTATTGCAGCGCGAAGCCAAGTAAAATACCTATTGAACTGCATAAAGGGATCTTACGGGTTGAACCGCTGCCTTCAACTAAGTTAAAACCAGAACCCTGCCCAATCAACTTAGTGTTTTCCATTTTTAAAAAAACGTTGGAAGCAAACATAAATATATCATGGCTATATTTATTATTTTAATGTTATTGTGAATATCAGTAATTCAGATAAAAAAATTCGCGGCCGGTTTGCAAAGCCATGTGAATTTGTGTACAAAACAGTCTGAAAAGTCTGGCGAATCTCAACTCCAAACATGAATCTCAATACCTAAAACCCAAGTAAGTGGAATTTTAATCTCATCTGAAAATATGAACATGGGTATTAAGTAGGAGCTAGTTAATAAATTTGAGTCCTGTGATTTAGTAAAACGTCCCCTTAAATCTAGGATTTAACATACCAACAACTCTAGTAATAGAACTGACTTTATCATAGTAAACGAATGATGATTCAGAAACAGTTGGTTAGACGGAGGGTTGAGATGGATTACATGGACCGGCAACTAGATAGTACTCAAGGAGTGATATGGCGAACCTACACACTAAACATTCATGCTCAACAGGATAAATAAAACTGAGAAAACAATTAAAGAACTTACTGATCAGCAGAAAACCTATTGTATTCAGAAAATGACTTGTGCTTAGTGCGATTTGATCGACGACTTTCCAGTTTATAGTCTGAGTAAAGAAACTCGAGGTACTTGTTTCGTGTTTTTCTGTCAGAACAGAGTGGTCCACTTGAAGTTATACATAATAAATTGCTGGGACATGAGATGAAAGTAAGGAACTCGGGATAATATTTTTGCTCCAGAAGACTTTTTACAACATTCTGTGCTGAGTCAAACAGACACCGATCAGGGGGTTGTACAGAAGCATTGGAAGAGAGGCCTTTTTTGTACCCATGATGGTAGGACGACAGGCACTCATTAATGTTTTGTTTTAAAATATAAGGAAGCGGAACTGCATGTGAAGCACCTGACTTTATATAAGTCCTATAAATAACTTTAGCGACTTGAAAAAGCTTGTCAGGATTGGACAGGTCAGCATTTGACCGGAAGCCCTTGCAGGCGAACCAGAAATCAAGAAGATGACTTGCAGAATGTTTATAGGAAAGAAATTTGTTGAAAAATTCCACACCGTCTGAATCATTCAGTAAATTGTCCAGATTTATGCCCCAACGGGACTGATCGAGATTACTCACTGAATCCCGACTATCAATCACAACATCCATATGTGTACTATCCAACAGTCAACGGAGTCTATACCGTAAGATGAGAACTTTATGTATTGCGGTAGTGTGAACAAGGCTACTCATTGATACAAAAAAACAAAACATGATCCCTCAATTATTTAGCCTCAGAAAGTGCGTCATTTTTTAAGAAAGACTCCCAAACGAATTGGTTTTTGATATCAGTCTCAGGTTCTTAAAAGTAAAGATAGGATTTCGAGCGACGATTTAAATCTCGCAACCATTAGTATTGTGGATATCTAATCTCTTTATAAATCCGTGAGCAGAAGATACTGAAATTACGTAATCTGGTGGAGCAGTCGATTGATTTGCCACTTGATCCACGTAAAGAAGCTTTAGAAAAGAACTACTTTGTCGTAGTTTAGGCACTGAGAATGTCATCTAAAATGATTAGTTCTAGCTCAGAAAACTGCGTGATGAATTGATATCTGAATCATTTTTCCTTATATTGCAAAGTATTATTAGGTCACATCGCAATCTGTGTTGATATAGCAAGAATAGTATTATACATCTCAATTTGTCTTCAGAAGGCAAGTCGTAAAGACCTTTAGTCATTTTGATTCTTCACTGTTGAACCTTTTCAGTTACATTAAATTCGTATTCGGAACAAGAACTGGTTACTTGAATCATGCATTTCAGGTGGGATTTGCGATTGCCCCATAAGACCCAGAAGCTTCTGGCAACGACTGCCTTGAGCTTTTTGTAGTAGTAAACGGTTACTAACTATAACTCCTGGATCTATCGTCAATTATATTTATTGCCTAGCTCTGTAAATTTTTGTAATGGCTGCCTTTAACCACCATATGTTCGGTACAATTTGCTTTTGATGGCCAATTACTTGCTCGTTCAACCAGTATGCTTAAGACTTTCTGTATTATCATCTCGCTATTCGAGTTTGACGTGATTCATTGATCTCTCACCAATATACTGAAATATCCACTGTGGAATCATTGAAATGTCTCTGCGCCAAATCATCTGGCAGTGAAGTCGATTAATGTAAAACAGTCACTGGTAACGGCAAAATAAAGGACAATTAATGTGTATTATTTTATTGCACGCCATAAACTAGTCCATGTAGCAGAGTAAGGATGCAGTCAAGACAAACATGACTCTCCACTTCGTGCTTAGTCCACTTGGCGCAATCCCCCAGAGTTGTCCCCGGCACTGTTTAGAACATACGCATGGTCCCAACTTGAAGTCCACGATGTCGCTACACCCCATTTACTTAAAGAAGAGATAAATCTCTTGGAGCAAGTGCAAAGGTAGGCAACCAAATGGGAAACAGGGCTAAAACATGAATCTCATGAGGGAAGACTTCAACGACCGGGATTATTCTCACTAAGCTACAGGAGAATAAGAGGTGGTCTGATAATGGCACAAAACACACTAGGCACGCCAGAACAAAGCATAACTATATAACCTTTGAAACTTTTTTCGTTTATTATATTTTCTTTCTATTCATCCTAATATTTGAAGTCTTCTTGAGCTCACATTTATGATCATTAATGTTATCACTACTATGACTGATCCCTCGACACATAAGATATTCTTTAAGTCCTATTTGTTCCCTCTAAACAACAGAGTCTTTAACTAAAAACAAATTATCTTATGCCACACTTGAATAGATTAACTTTCCAGATTCGTTTTTATCTTCATCACATATATATATCACAGAAATTGATATTTAATTATCCTTTGTGATCTTCATAGCACCGTTCGAAATTATTATTGCAAAAAAATTTCATACTAATATCAAGTTTTACTCTTAATACTTTTACATAAATTTATGTGTGTTTACTCGAGTGCACTAAAATAACTTTCAAAATTCAACGGTTTACTTCAGAGGTCGATATTCATCACACTCTTATTATCATGATTGAACCCTGCCACTAATTTTTCATTTCTTTTTCTCTCTCTCACTCTTTTCCTTCTATATGAATATTATTCTTAAGCATATAAAATTTGTAATCAAAACAATATCTTGTGTTACACCTAAATAAATTAACCTCTGTTTCACTTGATCTTCACTACGTATATATAACTCATACGTATAATTATGTGACCATCCTTTTCCACTAATTAAAACATTCATGGCATCACTCTGAACTATCACTGCACAAATACTTATTCTGCTGTCACACCTTACTGCAATAACAAGATATTTTCTTATTTATTTATTAATAACCTTTTCCTCTTTCTTTTCCTTTCTGTTTTTGCTGTATATTTGGCGATACATGCATAATCGTTTATTCTTGTTCTGTGTTCACAAAAACGCTTATTAAACTATCTATATATTTCACATTTTTTTCATTTCTATTCCCTTATTTTATCCCTTTTCTTTTTTAAAATCAACCCAACATTCTCCCCAATTACACAGAACCTGCGTTTTTTTCAATTAAGGCGAATATTATGCTGACATTGTTTAAACTTGTTTATTATTATATTATTGAAGAAACGAAAAATGGTTTCTTTACAGCACTTATGCCCCCTTAAGCTATTTATGAATAATAATAATGATAACAGAATCGTTTGAGAATTAAAATTCCCACTCAGCTCACTTACAACTACTGCCGGTCTCAAACATGTGTAGGATAGGCTCATATTAGAATATGAGCCATCTCTTAACATCTTTTCTTTCGACTATCGTTTACAAAACTTCGAATTTTTGAGTTTCATCATCAAATAACAAAGATAATATGCCAGATTGTTTTTTTAAGAAAGCCAAGCATTTATATTAATTGTTTTGGGACTTATCTGAATCTTACGCGTTACAGAGTCAGCAACATCACTCAAATCAAAGAATTAGTTTCAGTGCTGAAGGTCTGATGAAGTTCTTTCAGAATATATACCATTTCCTAAAATTGGGTGTTTGCTTCTCATATACTGGATAAACCGGTTAAGTAATGATATAGATGAGTTTCAATACTTCGCTAGATGGTTAGTTATGTCAACAATACAACATAACATGTAGCATATATTTTTACTTGGAATAGTCATGCATACCATAGAGGTATCGCTACCGAAGCGGTGTTTGACATAAGATATATTTAATAGATGCATATGAAAACATATCACTATGAGGGAGTATGTTGGTTGTAGGAGGGTCGTTCCATATTCAACATTAATTTGACACTTTTTAGTTGTTTCGATCATCTTTTCAACACACCTATAATTGTTGTACACTTCACTAAGTGCAGCATTGAGGTGTTTGCACGAACTGACGATTCCTTTGTACATGAAGACTATCTGACTTCAAAATCCAAATAAAACACGTTCGTTAGTAGTCCTTTGATTCTGTCTACTTAGGTTGCGCTATTTCAGGGATTCCTAGTTAGTACAATAACTCAAATACTTCTAACAATCACAAGCAACCTTTCAAAGAACACACAGTCTTTTTCGTCACGTCGTTAATTGTATTTCTACAAGTCATGTATCAAAATTTAAGTTTCGTTTTACATATGCGTCATTCTAGCCTACGTATTTGTTCGTGTCATATTATTGCCATGCATCAAAATTAGACAGTCGTTCGAAATTCCCCATAATATTGTCTACTAAAACCATCATACTCTTTAATACTGTATGTACTAAAGTTTGAGAATCCTGCCGTCACATTAATTGTTTAAGTAAATTTTCAACATATTTGAAACCACTGCCGTTAACAGACTCACCTGATTAATATATCATCATACCGCATTAATGTAATAACTTAAGTATAAGGTATATTAGGCATAGTCATATTATGGGAAGTCCACAATATTGGGTTAAATCTCTCATTCTAGTAGCATGGATGAGTGAACTAATACTCACTTGGACCGAAATTTTACATAGTCTCCAAAAAACGCGAGAAGCGGTCATAGGACGAGAAACTCGTGGTTCCAGGACCATAAAAACATTCTTCAATACTGGAAAGGCTAAAGTTTCAGTGAATGTCAACCAATAATACGCATTGATCAATGACAGTAGCAGAGATGATAAATATCAGACTTATGAGGAGCTGCAGTCGAGTTTGCAGAAACACGTGGGAAAATATTAGAGGATCTCGACGGAGGATCTAGGCGACAAGATCAGGACAAACAGCACTGGGTACGAACCCGGCATGTGACGACACAGACAATAAAAAAGAAGTGAGAATTGTGAAGGGCCACAATCTTTAACGTGATTTAGACATTCTAGGGACTAGTTCACTTTTACAACATATCATGATATTATCATACTGTCTTATGTGGCCAACCAACTTTCCCCCGAAAATCAAATCTTATAGGTTACTTTTCACTTCACACGTACATGTCATGGACTTACATTTCTGCAGCTGCTTGATCGATATATTAGAAAACCCTGACCCAGTAGTATTGGATGCAACTAGAAGGATAATCGGTCATGTTTTTGAAGTGCTTAACAGACTCCAACACATGTAAAAGGCCATAGTGCTTAATATAACTGACAATCGAAACTAAAAATGTTTTTAGAAAAATACTTCAAAACAATTATGGCTTTTTAAACACTTTATGTGTTTGCAAGAGATTACGTGTAGTCAACAATAACGCATCCTGCTCTCAACTTTCTCAATTTTTTGAAACTATCAAAGCCAACCATTTCGTCGACAACCTTCGATTCCTGGAAATATGCCAGCGTTTAGAAGCTTTAAGGCAATTCACAACAGGAATACCACCAGAACATAATGATGTTTCTGGCCCTAATACCGGTTATTATGCTGATACAGATGGTTACAATTATATTTTTCCCAAGGCTATAGATCCACGGCCTGCTTCAATAAGTCAGGATTATAAATTTATGAGGGACCGCACCAATAATCATAAACATTCGTTAACTTCTATGCTCATTTTAACTACATTTATCTATAACAACCTCCTTATCTCTCCTACGACAATCAGGAAATCCGAGACTTATGAAGAGCATTTGCATCTATTTAATTCCATGCATACTAATTACAATAAGAATTTTATTAAAGATAGCCTCAAATG